AACTCCTATAGTGCATGTGCGCACAGCGCAATAAAAAAGGTACAGGAGTTGACAGTCCAAGGCCTGTGTGCCATGGTCTCTTATTACCCTTCAATTTGAGGTTATACTTTTGACCTGTACTTACTCACTACAGCTTATTACCTCCAGTAAGATAGCTTTTTCCCTGCAGAATTGCAGTTGAGTGTCCATTTTCTATACCAAACAAGGGCCGAGATACATATAAGAAAATACAGTGGGCCCTAGTCAAAAAATGCTACAAATGTGAGTTTGCTTTAGCACCTGAACCTTTAGAGGAAGAGTCTAAAGAATCATCATTAAACTTATGTAAATGAAAAATTGTGTCCAACAGAAATGGACCGTAAAGGTGTTGGGAATTTACCTGACCTATACTATAACCCTTGTTTGGTAGAGGAAAAAAAAGCACTCAATCTGCTTTGACAGCCAACATTAAAAAGAACAAAACAAGTATAAAGGATATCCAGTTTGTCAATAGTCATAGAAACTGACTCCAATAAAAGCATCACCGACCAGCAAGGCTCAGGGGCTGTAATATCTTGAAATATTGGTTTGTTTAAAAAAAGTGTGTTAAAATAAACATTCACAGCAAACACTGCTGCAAGTGCCTCACACTTCACACTAAGGGGTCAATCTAAAAACATCTAAAAGAATTACAGCACTGAGGTGTTCCTGGTGGGTGGGTGCCCTCAAGAGAATCCCAGTTCATTGGCTTTTTTTTTTTTGTTATCATCAGATGTGAGTATCCCTCTCAGGCCTGCACCTTTAGGAGGCTCTTGAGCTGGAAGGCCATCATCTCCCTGTTGTCGCAGGAGCCCATTGGGAAGGACACCCAGTGGCTGGGGGGTTTGGGCAACACGCTGGGTGAGGGTGGCTCGCTGAACTTGGGCCCTGCGTAGCTCGGACTTCCCTGGGTGGCCAGGAGCGTATTGAGGTGAGACACAGCACCCTCCCAGTTCTGATCATAGTTGGTGGCAAAGCGGGCAGAAGCATTCTTGTCTGCAGACACGGCCTGCCGCGCCTCTGGAGACCTGTGGTAGGCTGCGCCTTTCTCGCTCCGGCGGTGGCCATGGTGGTGAAGACCCCCTACCCCTCCTGCAGATGCTGCTGCCCCGTTCTGATCACGGCTTCTCTGCTTAGCCCGACCAAGCTGGTGGTTCTTCTTGGGGAACGGGCGCTCCGGGTGGGAAACTGGAATGTTGTACCTCTCTCCGCCTCCCATAATGCTTCAGCACTACGTGTCACCTATATGATATAGAATATGTTTAGTGCTGCACCAAAATCCTGTTCGTATTGTGAAATTTGAGGGTTTTAATTATTGTTATTTCTTGTAAAACAGTATGTAATCCATCCACATTTGCGCCACCGCTCAATGAAAACAACCACTCGGGGCTACGTGCAGAAACAGCAGACAGTCGGGCCCGCGTCGCCCCTCCCCCACTCACACACACACAACCGAGAGCAAAACAGCCCCAGCTCACCTCTTTGTTGTTAGAAAGTCGACGAAGCAGAGCTCTCTCTTCAATCTTTCACCGCCAATCGGGCCCCAGGTCCTCGAAGTAGTTCTCAGTCTACTTCTCACTGCACTTTTTTGTCCAGCAAGGTCTAAGGTTTTCATGTGCCAATGAGCGTTGTTTTGCTGTGGAGCCGAGCTGAACATCAACTCACCTCGGCACACGATGCTCCAAGAAGTCGAGTACCTTAAACAGGGCAAAACAAAATTCAGTCAGTCAAGTCAAGGGCTAAATGAACGTGTTATGATGGCAAAATTATACATTAAAAAAGGTTTTGTTATTCCGCCTGCACTGTTTTCTTCCAGGGGGAGGGGGGAGGTATATTAGAGTGCGTCATTACATCTAGCACTGCAAAACAAAAATCAATACCAGACAAAAAACGACAACTACCCATCGTTTAGTGATAAAAAAAATATTATATACACATTACTGTCGATCACAACAAAATATTACATAAGAAAACTGCGCCATGTTTATTATTCCACTTTGTTTATGAGCCTCCAGCTTAGCTTCAGTGCAGCCCGCTTTGTCCTAAGTGGCTGTTCGTGTTGACGATTATCGGTGTACCAAAAAAAAAAAAAACGTGATACAAGTTTAAATCGCGGTGTACTGATTAATACAACCCCGAACTGATAGTTGAGTAAATAACGCGTTTGTAGTCTCGGAGTCTACACTACCTTGGCACCAAACCAAAACAAAGAAACGATGAGCTCAATATGGCGACGAAGCACAAAACGGCTTCTGCTTACCGACTTCTTCAGGCTTGGTTGATGAAGCCCTTCGTCAGAAAGAAAAAAAATTTAGTGAAATCCCTCGGCGGACTATGTAGGAAGCACAGCAGAGCTATATTTCCCCCACAAGTCCGTCACTTTCGAAGCTTATGTGGTGTTAAAAGTGGCCGTAGGACGCCACTTTTCTCTCTCTCACTCTCCCGACTCCGTCTGAATTGCAACAAAATGGAATCTACAGCAGAGATATGTAGCTCGCTCTTACCGAGATCCGACCAATCAGGTGCCGAGTACAAACCGAGCGACCAATCAGCGACGAGACGGGTCGGACGCAGTTACGCCTGTTGCCAGACCGGTGACGTCAATCGCCGACCCTCCTTTGTTGGAGGAGCTCGGGTATTTCCTGAGAGAAGTGAGAGAATAACAGAAAGACAAACCACTTCCTAGCATTAAAAACGACACAGGAAGTAACTACAAGGCCGCATACGACGTCTTTTTATTGAGGGGGGGGGGGCATTAGATAGTAGAGTAGTAGTAGATAGTTTTGTGTTATGTATGTCGATCCATCGTTCAAAAAAGGTAAACACGTACCCAGTTCAGATTTACTGGCATACTTCTTTTTTTTCTGTTATGGGAAAACGGATTTGTTGCTCCACGGTTCCGGTTTAGTGGTTAAACCTGTTGTGCTGAGTTGAAACAGCTGCAACAGGCTGTAATGATACACAACAGCTTCTGTCTGTGAGCTGCCCATCCCCCCTACACACACACATCTCCCCCCAGCTTATGTGTCCTCCTGCTAAAAACAAGACATTGACCATTTTTTTGAAACAGCCCCTCTTATTGAGTAGTGAAATGAAAACAGGAAAGGGAGAGTGAGGTTTGAATGTACAGCTCATACGCTACAATAGACTAATTTGGTGCCATACTCATACAGTCAGTGTGAGCTTTGATACAAAAGCCCAATTCAGACTTAATACACTACTGTTCAAGTTATATAGTGTCATATAAACTAATACTGTCATGAATCTGCAACAGCTGGACATGTTATTGGGGGTTATTTAGGTGTAAATCTTCTTTCCCCTGATGTTTTGTTGATTTAACCTAGAACCAAATGGTTTACAATGGACTCCAGTATCACAGAGAGCTGAGGTGTGTGGGGATACTAAAAACAGATTAGTATAACATGTAAATTGCAGGACATATGTGGCTTGTTTACACTACATTTTCAAGTTAAAGTTAAGACTATTTTGATCATTTTCTGCCGTGTTACTGCTGAATATTTTTGTATTCGGTGGCTGAATCTGGTTTAAAATCATTGTTTAACACTTAGAACTTGGCCTCTGTTGCACTTTTCTATTATTTGCTACCCAGCTTTTAGCCTTCATGTATCCTGTGTTTAGACTCAGGTTATTTTTTAGTTCTCAATGTTTTTTACCTTACAGCACTTAGGCCTACTTAGTATTATAAGTACATTTTGTACTTTCCCCTCTTGTCTTTATAAGGTCATGTGTGATAGCCTGCTGTGTTCTTACAGCTGGTTTTATGGGAGTCTGCAGGTCTAAGTCTAAAGAATATAAAACAACTGGTGTGATAGATTAACTCACATCTAAGTCCGCAACCAGTGTAGTTTTCACCTTGTTTAAAGTGTCTGGGTTTTTAAAAAAAAGTTGCATAACACAGTCTGCGTCAGCCAACGCTCACAGCTGAAGGCCGTGGAAAGACACTCCCCAAAAGCAAAGCAACCTTTGAAGGGGGTGGTGCCAATCAAGAGTTAGCTATGTATGGAAAGTAGGTCACTGAGAGGCTTCTGTAGGTCGTACAGATCACAGGAGGTGAACAAATCTCCATATTTGACTGGTCATAAAAAGCTTGCAGTATAAACATGTCATGGACACAGTGAATGTGTGGTGATTATACTGGAAAGGCTGCGAACAAACAAGTCTAATTCTCTCTGGCTCATAGGGCCATTTACAGTAGTTAGTTGGCAGTGGGTGCAAAGGGCGGAAGGTAAACGATCAATTAGGTTTCACATGAATTTGAATTGACTGAAAGGCAACGCCCACTACACAAAGTGAAGTGGGAAAGAACCGAAGCAGAAACAATTTCACAACACTCAGCAACATGTCGAGCGCATGTCAGAGATCTTTTATAACAGCAACAAGCACGTACCACACACAGTCTTCCCTTTTTGTTTTTTTCCCGTAGGTTAGTGGGGGCACTGTGACATAACACAAAGGAGCCCGAATGCACTTAAGTGACACACACTCTGTAATTAAACGCACTGTGTACAATCTAGTCAAAGACACACACAACATGTCCCCACATCTCTGTTTTAACAATATAGTGATAATAAAAGACAATATGGCCTAACGACACAAATACAGACCCAGGGTCAGTACCCACCTACCCCTTATTCCATATACCTATGAGCCCATGGCAAAGAATAAATAAATGGACAAATTAATATAAACAATACGGTTGAGAGTATTATGTTTTTTATTATTATGTTTTTACATAAAATCTCTCATTTAACACAATATTTCAGTTCTTCCCTCGTTCAAGCAGGCCATCCAGCTATGGAGAATCAAGATTTTTGAAGACCCACTGATAAGGTTGTTGGATCATTGACTCACTACTTGTTTTTCAAGTGCCGATGTTCGGACCTACAGGTGTCTTTCTAAGCAAAAACTGCACATAACTGTCCAATACACTTCCTGTGTTTTTTACCTCTGTGATGGAAGACAAAACAGGGCTAGAATAAAACTTGATGTTGTTTCTCATTGGTTATCAGTACAAGCAGGGCCGTAGCTACCACTGACGACATTGAGGTCAAGCCTTTGGTATTTTTGGTTCAGTTGTATCCAGTATCTTAGATTTTAGAATATGTCTACATTTAGACCTTTATGTGCAATTTCCTAGAACATTTTCCGGAAATAACTATCTTGTTCTAATTACAGTGGAAATATGCCCTGAGACAGTTATTCTAATGAGACTATTAAGATGTAATAATCAAAAAATGTAAAATAACCTAATAATTACTGGGGACTTCGATTCATGACCTTAGAATTTCTTAAAATCCTATGGCACTGAGTACAACTACAAGTCAACACAAGTCCTTAATACCACTTTAACATTTAATTGGTGAATGCTGAACAGAAGATCAAATCTTGTACTTACAGTTTACTACTTGAGTATTGTAAATAGCAAATGTAAGAAATGTTTTACATTTTATAGTAAATACGTTTTTTGTAGTTTTAAATTCCCCCTTTGATTTCCTAATATATAATTTAAGCCTTTCATTTTACAATTGAAAATGTGTCCTCTGCTCAGTGTAAGCTTAACATTAAGCAAATTCAGGCAGTAGTCTAGGGACCATTTGCACAGCTGGAAGGCAGAACTTGCTCTGTACTGGGATGTATTTTAAAACTGCAATCCTGATAATAATCCCCATTTCTACTAAATGTAACTGTTTTTCATCTGTTTTCTGTACACTGTAATCGATTACAGTTTTTTTTTTTTTTGTATCCTGATAAGGTAACTCTGTAACATGTAATTCATTACTTCCCAAGCCTGTAAATAATTAATCATTATTAAAGCATTTAGCATGAAGTAATTGGATTTTTGTTTGATGTGTTCATTTTTTCTTGTGTTTTTCACATCAGTGATCTGATACTGCTGTCTGAACGTCTGGCAATCTGGAAATGAGGAAAGGAAATTTGATTAATGGATTCAGCCTGAAACCATCTGAAACAGCAAGGCGAGCCCTAATGTTTGTGTCCAAGGTGATTTCTAAAAAGGGGATTGTGTAACAGGATGATGTAATTCAACTGATAATTGAACATTTCCAGCTTTATTCTGTCCTGTGGCCTGTTCTGCTGTGCTGCACCTGGTCAGACAGTGACTGAGAAGAAATCTTATTGGAGCTGTGCTGTCTGCTCATAATCACATTTCCTGCCTTCTGGTCTGCTGGAGCTTTCAGGTCAGAGGAGGAGAGGACACGACCAGTGTACTTCATATCACCATCTTATTACAAGAGCTTTTTCAAATCATAATTCACTTTATTGAATGGTGTCTGAACGTCAACTTTTCACAAAACTTTCTGACCTGTTTTCTTGTTATTGAATATATTTGTTAGTCCCAGTTACTGTTTTATTTAGCATACTTTTCTCTAAAGTGGGAGGCTAAAATAGGATGCTAGTTCATTTCAGAATGCCTCAGGAATGTGATTTCATGACCTGATTCAGTTGTTATTGAACTACTAATGTACTTTATTTTCACCAGAGGGACATTAGCTAAATTAAATGGCTTTAATTGATGAGGGAACGGCTCGGTGCGTTCAATTTTGTATCTTTAAGGGATAATAAAGATCAAAAGGATGAACAACCTTTTAACACATAGCCATGTCAATGATGTTCACTGCCAGTCACTCATAATGCCCACTAGTTTATGGTTGCTTGGATTGCCCCCTGTTGTGCTGCAAGCAGTATTACACCCTGACACACCCACTAACCGTGACTTCAATGGCTACTGGTCAGTAGTGTAAAAGAAAAGATAAAAAATCTGTCTGAATTTGCAGTAGAGACACTTCAGTACATACTGTGGATCCAATGTAAACATGTTCAATAATAAACCCTTATAAACCCCATTTGAAATGAATGAGCACAAAACAGAGCTAAACAGCTGGATAGAAGTATAAAAGGGAAAGAAACCGACAACTAAGTAAAATTTTTTTCAAAGGAACTCTTTATTATACACCTAGAACAAAACAATTGTATTAAATTGTCTTTTATAATGTGCACACTTGTAGCTTTAAATTAACAAAGCAGACATAATTAAAATCTCCTATTTTATCATCTTGCCAGTCCTTCCAATCCACAGAGGGCAAGCAATTAAGCTATTCTTGTCATCCTTCAAGCAATATGTTATGAAAAAAAATAGCATGAACCATGTGATTCCTATGAGGAAGGGGTGAGAACGTGCATGTGTGATCCCAGATACCGTCTTTCAAATGAAGATGAGTGGAAAGTAATTAGCAAAAGGGCTGGAAGGAAACACTGTTGCTGTACAAATAGGAATAATTCAATGGCAAAATGTCTTCAGCTACCCTGGCTGGGTAAAAGGAGGTTGTTAATTTGAAAGTTCATTCTTGACCTTGCAAAGTAGTTTGGCAAAGTAATCTTAATCCATTTAGGAGGTTATTAATGCACTGGGGGGAAAAAACACTCTCAGTGGGAGTAATGGGTTTACAGCCAATCATAATGTAACCATGAGAAGTCACTTTATTGATATTTTTCAAGTAAATACTGCACGGTGTGTTTTTCCGCCTTTTTTTATCGACATGTTTTTCACACCTAGCACCCAACACCTTGCTTAAGTGCTCTCCTCCCTCGAGTCCATCCTGACTGCTGGAACGGCATCACTTGAGAAGGACATAACACCCAGATGTGTGTGATCTCTATTATATGTACATATATACATATGGAAACATTTCATCTAGTCCCTTTAACCTCTATTATATATAATCAAACAGAAAATTGACTCTTCTGCTAATACTTTATTCTCAGTTTCATCAAAGACTCCAGATATACTTGTAATACTTCAAAAGAACATAATTTGGGCTCATCCTTCCATCTTTTTCTCTGTGTGTGTGTCTCTCTTTCCCCTCTCCCTCCCCCTTGCCTTCATGTCATCACAGCCACAGCCTCTTTATCTTCTCCCCTCACACTCGCAGTCTGCCACCAGTCAGGTCTGTAGGTCTGTGAAACCATGCTGCAATTTCTCTGCTGTTAAGAGGCAACATAACATCGAAAACAGGAAACCACCAGCTTATCAGAAACAACAAAAGGGTAAGCTCTTAAAAGGTTATTCCATTAAAAGTTCAAAATAATATCCTAAATTGGATTTAAAATGGCTTTGTGATGAAAGCTCTGGGGAAATGTGATGTACATATGGTTTTAGAAGTTATATAATTATTCTTCAGCAGTGTGTGTATTCGTGCAGTATACTTTCGCCCTGAAATGTTTCGGTTTTTGGCTCCAACTGCTTTACTTGTGACATTTTGCAAGATTGTTACAGGGTGCAACAGTGACTCAATGAGTTATTGACACATCATATTTCAACGCGCAGGTCACCAGTGGTGCGACTCGATTGGATGCCTGTATGTTTTTTTATTATATGCTGCTGCTTTATTGAAGAGGAAATCATTTTGAAGAATCCTTAATAGTCAAAACACAGCACTCAGCCAATCAAGATCTTTCACCACAAGGGAGGAAAGACAAGCCTGAGGGTGTGTAATATCCACAGTGCATGCACCCATATGGCCCATAGTTGAATTGAGAAATATTGTCCCTCAAGTCAATAAGGGGCTTTCTGGAAAGTAATTTACTTCCATCACTTCTGCCCAAATATATTTCCTATGCTTTCATGAGGCGTTACCAAATTTGTGAAGAAAAATAATGGTCACTGGAGACAGAATAAAGGGATAAAAATGGAATAAAGGGCATGGTGACTGGGTGAAGTCTACTCCTGAGGATATCCTATATAGGCGTCATATAAGCCTCTTACTTTCTTTCATCTTTTTAAATGTTTTTTAAAATGTAATTGTCTCAATGTTTCCCAGGTGTAATGAACAAAATTTCCTTTAACATTAATGTGAATTATTGTATGTGTTTGAGTCATATTTTTACCTCCCAAAAATATTTAAGCCACTCGATTGCGAGCAATTCTAGGTGGTTGATCCCGTTTATCACAGCATTGTTTACGTTAATCAAATCCTTTCACATCAGCTTTCAATACTTACTTTAATCTATTGATTGAATACAAGTGCTGTACTCTACAGGAGGTTGTTCATCTCTGTGGTGACCTTCACCCACTGATTTACTGTTTTGTTACAGTACAATCCCCTCTAATTCCAAAAGGGGGCAGTCTTCATCCTGTTAAATATAATAATAGACCAACACCAGTCTGCTGTTATGTTCATCCCAGCAGGTAACTGAATGCACTTACAGTAAAATCACTGTGGAAAAATTAATTAAATATTAATCCTCTGGACTAGCTCACATCATAAAAATGAAAAAGAGAGGGGTATAGAGTTTCACTGGACACTCCGCTGTCACTCTGGATCAAGAAATCAAGGAAATGTATTTATCATTATACAATAAAGGATTATATATGTTGATGATTTAAACATTCATGACATTCATGTTCAAGTCATAATAGTTATAAATGTTTTATATATGCAGCTGAAAGTGATAAGATCCGAGGATTTTAGGAATCACGCTGAAAACATCATGTTCACATTAAATGTTTCTACACAGCACGGACAGATATGAAGCTCTTTCTTTCTTCTTTTTAAAGAAAATTGGTTTATGGTTTGCTTTAAACCATGATATAGCGGGCTCCCTGCAACTATCTCTTCAATATCAGCATCAGCAGATACTGTAATGATCATTGTTTGTTTGCCCTGACCTCTAAATGACTCTCTGTCGTGACTCACACATGTTAATGTCCTTTTTTAGCACCAAGTTCAATATTGACAAAGAGAGAAAAAGTCGTTTTCTACTTTATTTGTTGCCACTTACTGTAAAAAAAGAGGAGAGGATGACTGTCATCAATCACATAATTACAGAATAATTAAAATTGTTTTTTTTCTTGTATTATTTTTCCTCTAGAGGTTTTGATCTTGCTGTATTCGTTCTCTTGTCTTGCACATTAATAACAGTAATCTGGTAATCACTTATAACAAAATAAAATTCTGATAAATTCCAATAACAATTTTTGTTGTGTTTTGGCTGCTGATATGTTTATTTCTCTTAATAAAACAACAACAAATTTAATGACTTACCTTATTTGCTCATTACATTTTAGCACTGGCCCATACTGTAACAGTTGAAATGGAGGCATGGGAGGTTCCCACTTCTTTAGGACCCACAGAAGCCAAAGAGAACGCCTCGTCGCCAATAGGTATGCAGCCTTAAATATGCTTCTTTAGATTTTGAGGTGGATCAAGATAATGCAGTTTATGCTAATACTTAAGGATGCATTTACAATTGCAGTTGTAGTTTCAGCACACTTTCCCACTAAAATGTGTCCTGATATCTGTATTTATCTTACAGTTAACATGTCTTGTGAGAATCTGGAATGCTACATGGTCCTTATGAAGGCAGAAAGGACAGCCATCGGCTCCATCTGTTTCCTGGCAGGTCCTGTCACACTGCTGGAAAACGCTCTTGTGTTGGGAGTGATCGCTGCCACAGCCACCCTGCGGCAACGGCCTTCATATCTGTTCATTGGCAGCCTTGCTCTGGCTGATATCTTTGCCAGCTGCTTCTTCACCACCAGCTTCCTGGACTTTCACCTCTTTCGCCACAGTGACGGCCCCACGGCCTACCTCTTTAAATTAGGTGGTGTCACCATGGCCTTCAGTAGCTCAGTGGGGAGTTTACTGCTGACTGCTTTGGACCGCTACCTCTGCATTCAAAAAGCCTCCAGCTATAAGGCAGTGCTGACCCGTCGGCGAGCCCTGTTGAGCCTGCTGGTCCTCTGGAGCGCCACCATCTTCATCTCTTTCTTGCCTCTGATGGGCTGGAGGTGTCCCACAGGGCTTACTCCACCCTGTTCACGCCTCTTTCCATACATCAACCAGGGTTATCTGGCCTGCTGGACCAGCTTCATCCTGGTGCTTCTGGCTCTCATTTTGGGGGCTTACGTTCTCATCCTGTGGAAGGCTCACCAACATGAGTCCTCCATGACGAATCTCCAGGGAGCAGCAGGTAGAGGCCAGGCCCGCATGAGGATGGATATCAGGTTAGCACGTACCTTTGGTCTGATCCTACTCATTCTAGTGGGCTGCTGGCTTCCTGTACTCTCCTTCATGATAGCTGATGTCTCTGTGATCCTGACCCACACCCAACAGAGAGCCTTCGCCTTTTGCAGCACCCTCTGCCTGGTCAACTCTGCAGTCAACCCACTGCTGTATGCACTGCGCTGTCGAGAGCTAAGAGTCGCTCTACTGCAGTTGCTACAGAAGCTGTGTGAGGTTGGGAGGTGTAAAAGAGCTGCAGAAAGCATACCACCAGGGTTACCCTCTGCAGAAGAGTCCAGGAACAGAACCACCCGACTTAACTCGATCTCAGAAGGGGTGAACAATCAGCAGCTGGACATCAGAAAATGAGTTAAGGAGTAGCTGTAGAGATAGAGAGGTGTCTGTGTTTATGGCAGCGTGCTGGGGTGTAAAAAAAATCACTCACAACTTCACTGTAGATTCAGATTAATATCTAAAATATCTGTGAGCAGGATTCATTCATCATTTACCATCCATAGAGTTTACTGTAGTAAAGACTATTAAACTTAACTAAAATAACCGGTGATATCATAAATGTAATAATGTGGCAAACATGCTACAAATTTTGTTTTACTTGCAGTTACAACATACACGGAAAAGACAACTTGTAAGAAGAAACCATTAACCTTGGCAAATATTTTGTCGCCATTAGCTTTTAATTTAATTATATAAGTAGGGTAGGATTTAAAAAATATTGCTATCTACAGCTAGGAGTGTTTTTGCATTTTGTGATGAGTGGAAGAACTACACTAGTAACAGATTCCAGTAGAAACAATGCTAAATAGGCTTTGGTTTGGACCATTTTAGTGTATGTGAACATCCAACCCATAACCTTTAACCTCTCCGCCTCCCGTGACTCTCTCTCTCTCTCTCTCTCTCTCTCTCTCTCCTTTAACATGTGTCCTGTCCTGTGAACTGAAGTGCTGACTTAACTTCTGGGTTCACCACACAGTAGAAAGGTGTATTTATTGTTCATGTGCTTGTTTATGTTTGAGGATTGTCCCTCGGCGTTCAGGAAAAGAGGACCCTGTGGGTTGCCCTTCCTATCTGCACATGAATGCCAGGACTCCACAAAGGACCCTAGCACGGGAGGATTTCACACAATGTTCACCACATGAATCCCAAGCAGTGTGCCGAGGTAAATGGGACACATGCCAGGAAGAGAACGAGCATGGACGCTAGAACACTCTCTGCAATGGTCACAACTGGCAGCTGCAGTGAAGAACATATTGACATACACTTAAACGCACAGGTGCCATTGGATACTAGACAGAACATGTGTAAACTGCTATATCAACTGATTAAAAAATAATACTTGACCATACTCTAGTTTGACTCTTTATGTTTATTTTGAAGCAAATTCCATAAGTAAAGCTATGTCATTGTTAGAAACCAAGTCAGCACTGGGCGGTGGTGTTTGCAATGAGTCTTTATCTCTGTATCAATCTTTTGGGTGTTTTTTTTTTAGTGACATGCAGGATGCTGGGAGTCTGCCCTGCCAGAAAATAAGAATTGTCTAGCAGTAAGTTTATTAGTGGGTCTTATAATACAGTCCTACAATAAATGATACCTTCATAAAAGTACTAATGTTTATATGTTTGTTTAAACGATTTTAATTATACTGTGAGGTGGCATTTGTGTTATTTTGTATACCCAGTTTATATGAATAAGGGTAGGTTAAATATTAGAAACCCCTCTCAGTATAATTCAACAGCTACTCAAACCACAGCCTCCAGAATGATCATAAAATTGGAAATGAGTGGATTTTATTCTTCAAAATGCTACACCAGATAACCAGAAACAGCTAAAGAATGCAGTGAGGAGGATCTAATGGAACTGCTCAGTGGAAAATCAAGAAAATGATTGCTCATATCGCTTTTACCACTTTTTATGAGGAGAAAAATGCCACTTTAATTATTATTGCTGAATACTTCCCAGCAGTATAAACCACAAGCTGCAATACTGGCTGCATGTTTTGTTCTTCTTTCCACAGGTCCATCTGTTAACAGTAATGACTGCATACAATGTTGTTTTGTTTTAATGTGCCAACAGTCAAATAAGAACAATATTATTATGCATTAACAAGCCAGGATTCCAGTAAAAAGAAGGTTTTGATCCTGTAATTTTCTTTAAATCAGGGATTAACAGAGGTCATTTAATCTTATCAGTTTATTTTATGTTGCACATATCAAACTGCCAACGCCAGATGAACATCCAGTGGTAGAGACTGAAGCAAATATAAATTGATGGGCGATTCATTATTGGACATGGTTATTTTCAAAAGAAGAGACAGTAGTGAGTGTATGGCTAGTTACTGATGCATATAGCTGATATAACAAAGTAGCCTAAGATAAGATCATAAATTAATGTATATCTGCTTAGTATACAGATGTGTTCATGCAGTGCATACAAAAATATCCTATTTTTAGTCAAACTAGTGTGATCCAGCTCTCTTGCGAAACTCAGAGACTCTATTACAGTTTATTATCACCATGCAGACATGTAGATAATACTGCCTATTGCAAAATGGTACATAGCCTGCTGTATCTGGTAATTAGTTTGTAGAGAAAATGCGAAAATACAGTATGAAACCTGCTATTTGTTGACAGACGGTAGGTAAAAACTATAAATCTGCTTTCTACTGAAGGAGATTTAAGTGTAACATCACTCTAGAGTTCATTTTTAATCTGCTTGATTTACCTGATCACCACCACCAGACGTCTCGTGAACCTTCAATTTGAGTTCAACGGAAAGCAATCAACAACAACAACGGGGTTGAGCGGCGGGACACAGTGGCGTAAAACGGCAAAACACACGACAAAATCACAAGTTATTCCGATACTCATTAAACACCACGCTAAAAAAAAACAACTCTCGACAACAAGTACGAGTCAAATCGGCGATGTGTATAAAATAACATCTCGTAAATGAGTGGGAACCCCCCTCTTTCCGCCGATGGTAGGATCCGCCATTGTGACGTTTTAAAAATTCAGCAGGCAGGGTCGGCAGTTGGCTTTACTACTCAGAGAAGAAACCCCGTTGTTGTGGAGACGAAGAAAGGCTCAAATAATTCGAGGGCCGTTAAAACGTTAAACCCCCTTTTTAAAAAAAAAAAAAATATATATATATTATTATTTTTTAAGCGGGTCGTTTTTCCTCCCAACTTATTTTTCGCCTTTGTGTTTAGCTAACATGGCTTGTGGAGCAACGTTAAAGCGGTCGATGGAGTTTGAGGCCCTCCTCAGTCCCCAGTCTCCCAAGCGGAGAAGGTGCAACCCACTACCGGGGACTCCTGGCACTCCGTCCCCGCAAAGATGCAACCTCCGTCCCCCGGTCGACAGCCCCACGCATTCGATGTCTCCCCCGGCCATGGGAGGCGAACACAGGCTCACCCCAGGTATGAAATTAAAGCCAGATTTGACGTTTTTTTCCCCCCCCCTTCTCTCTCTCTCTCTGTCTCCCCTGCGTTTCAGGGTGGGTGTCATGGGGGAGGGGGTTTGGGTTTGGGTGGAGTGGACGGGAAAGCTCGCTGGTTGAGAGAAACAGAATGGGGGTTGGAGGCTAAACGTTTAATTTAGCTTAGCACAGGCTAACGCCAGGAAGGGGAAACGTCGCCAAGCTACCGATACAGATCATTTTTATACTAATAGAAATGGATCAGCAGAAGCAGAACACGGCTGTGTGTTTTTTTTTTTAAACTATAGGTATTCATTGGTGGCATGTTGCCAGCTCATTGTATTGTTACTTACGCTTGAGTTAGATTAGACCAGTGGTGATTTGCTCATGGAGATACTGGATTCAAAGTTCTTCGCATAGCTCGCTAATCAATCACTATTTCTAGCTTTGAGAGCATTGGATGTTGCTGTGTGGCTGCCCTTATCAACACAGCTATAGCACGGTATATCACGGCTATTACATGTGTCGATATGTTTAATTAAACATTTAAAAACTGATGGGGATTAAACAAAAGATCCTACTTTATTTAACACCTGGGTGACCATCTAGCCTGTTGGCATCCCCAGCAGCAGAAACTCATCGCAGGCTGTTAATTAGAAGCTGCCTGGGCAATGTCCCCTGGCTTTAGTGCCACAATTGTCTTGCATTGAGGTGGGGGGGGGGTTACCATTATGCACCACAACCATTTCTTTTTCCTCTTCAGGCCTTGAGGGCATTGTGCATTTCCTTTATGTCTGTACTCTCCCATTGACTTACAAAGCTCTGCGTTGAGCGTCGGACGGGTGTGGGGCTCACACACAAGTAGACTCACAGATAATTACCTAGATGTCTCCACTGCGATCCAGCGAGGCTTATTGTATGTGCCAGTCACTGAGATTGGGCAGCGTGATAGCAGAGAGGCCTAATCCTTACGCTTTTTGAATTCTGATTTAAAACATTTCTGCACCTTTTTTTTTTGAGTTTATTTGATCACTTCATTGCTGTGAAATGTGAGAGGATTACAAGATGGAGACAGCTGTACGACCTGCGCTAAGCCATGCTGTTAACTCCTAGTTGCCATTATGTGCACACCAGTATTGAACCGCATCATCTCGCCACTACACATCCAACAGTGGAGGAGAAATGTGTTTGTAATTGGGGAGTGAGCCGTCCTTCGTAGCAGAGCTCGGCCAGTGATATCTTAGACGTTTTGGTAGTGTGTCTGCGTGTGTCCCATATGAAAAGTTTCTTCCCCGGTTTGTATATAATGCAAAAAAAAAAAGCTTTTGGTAGTACATTGGTGTCACTGTGAGGTTTATTCAGTAAGTAAAAAACATTTAAATACTGTGGAAAGCAGCACAAAGTCAGAAGAAGAAGCTCTCATCAATGTAAAATAGAGTTGGTTGACAATGTGTAAGGTAAATTATTTAACAAAAGAAATATTTTATTGATCCCAGGTGGGAAGATTTGTTTGTTACAGTTGTTCAAGGTGCTCACACAGTGTTAAAGAATAGAAATATTACTTAAATTATAATCTAACACACTATAAATGTGTGTGTGTGTGTGTGTGTGTGTAGGTATATACATATAAGTTAAAAATAAAAATGGAAATATAAGAGCCTATGTACCTTTTTTTTATATTAATAATTATGAAATATATACAAAGTAATGTCTGCCACAGTTTGTGACTGACACAAATGAAATGA